CTAGTCAATTTTTTTTTTTTAATTTGATAAGATTTCTCATTTGGCGAAAAAAACTACAAAATTGTTTTGCAAATTTCGACTTCCTTTTATTATTATTGATGCTCGGCAGGTTTAAATACATGATTTCCTACCAGTTGCCTCCTACAACTGTGAAGCATAACGGGAATAATGGAGATAATGTTAAGATTTTTGTTGACTGCTTCAACAACGACTTGTTTTCCATATTTTCCTCACTTAAGTATCACGGGTTCTTATCATTGCCTCCCCTTTTTTTTTTGGAACCTTGTCCTCAACGATCATGCTGCTAATTCGTTCATACAATTTGTGGTGTTCTCCCGTGTAGCTTCTTCTTCGGTCATCTTTCTTGCCGCTTTAAATTTTCTTTAATCCATCCAGAAGAACTTCATCCATGGTGGGTTTAATTTCCGAAACCCTGTTACAACATTTAATTATCCCTCTCAATCTGTACTTCATAGAAAAAATTAAAAGATAAAAATAAAGAGGTTACATCATCACCAAACTTGAGAATGCTTGTCAAACATCATCCACCCTCAACTCTTCAAGAGTATTATTTTTGGTTCAGCTCTTTGTAGTTTTTTTTTTTTTTTTTTATAATCCAATTCATAACAAAATATAGTTGCATACATAAAATTGATGTTGAATCAACACCATGTAAATAGATGGTGGGAAGATCAAACATCATACTTGCAATAGACTTCTTTTTTTTTTTTCCAACCAAATTTACATTCATACGTTGTCTTCCAACATGTTTTGCCTCCCTTCCCTCCCAGATGTTTTTTTTTTCTACTCTCCATCATCACCATTCTCCAATCCAATATATATATATATATATATATATATTTTGTTGCTCTCCATCATCACCATTCTCCAACCCAATAAAATTTTGTTTTGCTGCTCTCCACCATCATCATTCTCCACCCCAATAGTATTTCTTTTTTTCAAGTCATGGCAATTTTCACTATATCTCGCCAAACCCAACTTGGAATACGTTCACTAAAAATTTTCCGACAACCCCCGTAGCTCATTCGCCCATGGATATTGTTCACTGAAAAGAGTCAGCATAGATTGAGGAACCTTCTCATGAGCCAATAACTGAACAACATTTCCAGGACCAATGACATCACTCTGTTCTTTAATATCCCGTACCCAGTACTTCCCTGGATCCCAAGGTAAAGCTTGGTCCCTTTGAGTTTTAGGGTAAACATCATGCCATAGAAATATCCCTTTAGGTCTATACACCTTTATGCCTCTAAATTTATCGTACCATGATCTGAATTTCTTTATATCAGGCGTTATTGTGCAACTAGTTTTGTTTAAAAACTGTTTTATATCTTGAAAATATTCTGTCACTTTTTTCTCCACTTGTGGAATCATGTGAGATTCTAGAGTTTCACTTCTTTATATTAGGCAATTGATAAGGATACTCGAATTCTTGTACCACATTTACGAAATCTATAAAAAACGGTGACTCCATAAAATTGCCTGAAGATTTGGATTCTTTATCCTTATTCTTTGCGTCCATGATTAATCCAACACCTTGTGATGTTGGTGAGAAGAAAGTACAGATGATCATTTTTGACATAAGTATTTCTTGTTTTCTTAGCAGCTTAGGGCTTTGAGTTGCATGGAAATTTCGTGCGACTAACCTCGTCTGTCCTGCAATAGATCTCCACATCTCTCCCGCAAAAGCAAAAGTTTTAGCTTTGGAGTAGAAGGGAGTCGGCTCTTATCGCTTTTCTCCAAACTGTCGTCGTGGTTCGACTGTGTCTGGCCCAGTTGGCCTAGGGCATTGTTGCTAGATCGTTCTCTATTCAACACCAAAGTGTCGGGAAGCCATCGAGGGTGCCCTCGAGCTGGTGGAGTCTGTCAGCAAAATCTGCCTCCATTCTGCTCAAACTGTCCTGTACCCCATCTAGATTGATTTTTAGGTTTTCTATTTTTCCTTTGTCAGTAACCATGTTTTGATAGCAATTGATAGGTCTCAGTCATAAGCCTATAAATTTATGTAAGATTTTTTCTTTTGGGTGAGAAGAAACCACAGAATTGTTTTGCAAATTTCAACTTTACTTTATTGCTGATGCTTGCAGGTTTAAATACATGTTTTCTTTCCAACTACTTCCTATAAATATGGAGCATAATTCGAAAAATGAAAAAATGGGATAATAGGAATAATGGAATATATTAGTTAATGGGAATAATAGAGATGACATTAAGATTTTTGTTGACTGCTTCAACAATGGCTTATTTTCTAAGTTTTTCTCACTTAAGTATCGTGGATTTTTATTATGTTCATCTTAAAAAATGATGTTTTTGACTTGCACTTGTCACTTTTCTTTTAGGGATTGTTCATTTTCATCAATTAAAATTCAAAGCAACTCATAAGTAAGAGAGCCTATGATGGAATTCGACATGAATAATATGAAGAAAACAACAAGAAAGACTAAAAGTACAAACTATAAACTCAGGAACATTCAATGATGTAGCATTTTTCTTCTTTGGGGATATTTCTTCATGGCTTATAGCTTTGACATAGCAATATCCAATATCTAGATCATAAAATTTGTTAAGGATCTCCTAAATTTTTCAACTCCTAAATAACAGTCTAATCAGGGAAGAACATAAGACCCTTCAGACGATTTGTGTTTGGTTCAAGAAGAGATTGTTTGCCTTTTTATATGAATTCCCTACAATATATAAAATTGGCTTGTTGATGCAATCATTCCCTGTCATTGCCATTCACTTTTACCAATTCAATTATCCTGAATTCCTTTAGAGCTTCATATGTTTTTTAAAAGCTCTAGTAAGCACTACCTCTGAATTAGGTAGATTTATATTTTTAATATTTTATTTATACAACAATTTGATCATCTTTGATATTTCTCTTATTAATTTATAATGATGTATACAAAAGAGTTTCTAAAATGAGGACTACCATATGCCCATATATGGTTGTGGCTGGATCAAAGAAATGTTACCATTACTGCATTCACATAAATCATATAATTTCAGCTGAACATCCAGAAAAGGCAAATATTTGAATGACTACAATGCAATTATTAAGTATATGCTTCATAATCCATGTGGAGTGTTAAAAAATAGATGCTTTATGTATAAAAGATGGAATGTGGACAAAAAGTTTCCAAAGAACTCCCATATAGAGATGAGAGTTAATGAGAATGGATATCCAATATATAAAAGAAGAGAGAAAAGTTTTTTAGTTACAAAGGGATTTGTCAAGCTTGACGATAGATATATCATCCCTTACAATAGCTATTTCTTACCCAAATTTCAAGCGCTCATGAATCTCAAATAATGTAAAAAAATCAAAAGCAATAAAGTAATTTCCAAATATGTGATCAAAAGACTAGATTGAAGAGTTTTATTAATTAAAAACAAATATTGTTATTGACAAAAATTCAACTATAAAGAAAATATCAAATGTAAAGAAGATAAAAATAATCTTAGATCGTCGGTATTTATACTATGTGGGGCATCATGTTGAATATAATAATTTTATATTCACTACATCAACCTTAAATGATCTACCTTTCATTTCGTTATTCTGAAAAGCGAAATATTATCATTAGAAATATTGAAAAATTAAGTAAAGTTATGAGGAAAGGAGTTCATGAAATAATATTTATGGAATAGGTGAAGATAAACTCCATAAATCCAATTGCTTATATATTAATATATATTGAATTTCTAACAAAGTTCACATATATTAATAAAAAGAGATCTTAGGCTATGAGGAAGTCAGGAAAATCTATTAGTACAATAGCTTATACAAATCCAACAACTAATGAAAGATATTTATGGCTACTATCAAATATTGTAAAAATGTCAAAAAGCTTCATTGATATTAGACAATCAACAGTGTGATATATGAAATATTTAAAAATAAATGTTATGCAATACGAATGCTAAAAAATGATGAGAAGAAATGACATGATTGTTTGAAAGAAGCAAGTTTGTGGGCAAGTTGTCATCAACTAATTTTATAAAAAAATCTTATCCTCTTCTTGTTAAAAAAACTTTAACTTCCTAGTGTTGCGTATATATTTTAATTTAAATA